GATTCTCTGCTAAGAAACCATACGGATGTATTCAAAGGGCATCGCCATTAAATCCAAAGCATTCTTCTTGTTATTACATTAATAACATCATACATACTAAATACATCACTACCTAAAGACTTACCACTTTTAAAAATAACATTCAAATGATCATTAAATCCTATGGTGTTGGCTGTTAACTTGACTCCCAGAAAAAGTACGTAATAGCAGCAGAACTAGAACTAGTGAGCTGGACAAGACACAGGGACAGTTTACAGTGGTTAGAACTTTACACGCAATGAATTCCTTTCACAAATGCATGTGCTCAGAGAAATGATTGATTTTGCTTCTACTGATACCAAAAAGGAAGCAGAGTTGGGAAATTTGTTCTTGAGAAGTGAATAACCACTGAGAGGAAAGGGAAATGGTGGGAGAAGCCTGGAGCCTACAGGAATTTATCATAGCAATAGCAAGGCAAATCTCGCTTGTTAAAATTAAAATCTGGAGGGAGGAGCAAAAATGTTAGGGCTGGCTCAGAGATGTGCAAGCACAATTTTGGACTATTCATGCAAGAACGCCATCTAGTTTTGATCACAGGCTTGATTTGTGCTCCCAGTTGTGCACAAGAATAAACTTTATAGACATTTGACAGCCTCACTCAACAGACTGCCCATGGGCAACACTTAAAATGTTCACCCCAATGTACTGTAACTGCTTCCAGGATCGATGCTTAAAATCTATTTTATTATATAATCTTTCCTGGATGATCTCAATTATCAATAGAAAGCCACTATTAAAAAAGAACCTAGTATTACTGTAATTGAAAGTATTTTGGTAGCTTTCTAAAGATTTTAAGATTACAAGTCCTTGCTTTCAACATCTCTCTAATATAGCTATTACACGATGTCCATCAGAAACACTATATAATTAAGGTAGCTTAGTTTCAGTTGTAGGTGCATTCTAGTTTCCTTTTTTCCTCACCGTGATGAAAATTTTTTAGTCAAAGCAATTTCTGTATCTAAGGAAAATGTATTTCATAGAAACAATATTAAATGCACATTTTGTTGTTCTGTTTAAGGCATATGCTTCCAGTAACACAAGTAACTACGGCACTTCTCAATTTCCATTTTCAAGGTGAAAGGAATTTACTCCAATAAATTATGCTTTGTTCCAATTTCTGGTACCTACCATCTCAAAGTTGAAATACTCCTTTAAAACTTAATTGTAAAGGATTTCTCATTCACTGAGTTTTGGAATCAAAGCTTTTCATTTTAAGCATTTTTTTAGTATTACCTTTTTAGCCAGAGGAATTATTTGTATGCCTCTGTTGTCTTCTCACTTGCACTAATAATGCTAGGATGTTTTGTTTTCACAAAGACCCCACCTGTTCCCACAACAGCTGCTTTCATCTCTTAACAGATAACCAGCACTATCCATATTAAACAAATTTTAGAATATGCAAATACTGAGGAGTCTCTCCTCCATCAGACTAAGCCTAAAAGCCTCGACAGTATGCTGCAACACCAGGGCTTCACGTTCTACGGTAGTGCTCGAGAACCATAGCCGCCAAAGTCCCAGACCGACAGACTCAGAGGAACAAACAGCACTATGCAGGTTCCAATAAACACCAAGTAAAATTCATAATCATGTTAATTAAAGCTATAAATACTGTATCTAAGTAATAGTATAAGCAATGTTAATTATTGCCACTAATCACTGCATTTCAATGCAATACAAAATACAAAGGTGTCTTGACCCATATACAAAGGAAATACCTCTAGGAAGTACTGGAGGATGTTGGCCCAAGTGCTCATTTGCAACTACTCCTGACAGATCACAGCCAGCATGCCATGCCTGTAAGTAGCGCCACTGAGCTCCTTGCAGACAAACCACTCCTGTATTTATAGGACGGAAGCAGATGATCTGCATCTGCTTTAGCAGTAGTTGCTTTACTGGCTCCAATTTTGACTTCTAAGAAAGCAAACTAAAAGTCAGTAGCGAACAATCATCAATACTGGGGAGTGCATTAAGGCTACACTAAACTTCGTCTGAGAAGAGGATTTGTGGCAGTTCAGTCAGTGCCTGGTGCAAGCGTTTGATGTAGCGATAACAAACCATTATGACCTATAATTTATATTTCTTCCACCAGTTTTAAAAGGAATGTTATCTGTCTACATGAGGATCACACACTGTGGAAGCTGCATCTGTGTGTAGTTACTGAAGGCTGTAATGGCAGTAAATCTCCAACAGAGAAAGAGACGGAGCCGTATAGGTTCAGACATCCACAACCTGAAGGCTGTTTCAGAACTTAAGAGCATGTACAATATTGCCATATTATGATGCCTGAGAAAATAAGCAGGGGTAGCAGAGAACTGGAAACAAGAGTATGTTTCAGGTTGGAAAAATGACTTCTGTACCCTTCTGTCTCTACTATCTGCTTTACTGATACTTTATCCTCCCAGCTACCAAACCAGACAACCTAGATTTATGTTTTGTTTTGTTTTAGCTTATAATGGCCACCATACAACAGGGCAATGGGCAGACTATAAAGCACAGCCACCTAATCTTTCTACCACAACATATATTAAGTGTACATCTTATCATACAATTCTGACAGTCCCTGAGGATCTCAAGTCCCTATTTTCCCAGGCTCCACGAGAGCGTATGGCCCACACAGAACATACTGAATATACAAACCTGCAGAGGAAGATTGTTTTAAGGTCTGGAACTCCCAGCAGGAACCAAGCTAAGTTCAGTTCCACTTGGAAGCCATAAAAGCATGGGTTTAAAAAAGTGCAGCAGTATCTGGTGTTTGATATCTAACAGTATGCAACATGTTTATGACATGTATTAGCCTACAAAATCTGAGTTCATAGCCTGGGACAACAAAGCAGAACTCAGCTCTGGCATATGTAGTGGGAAATAGAAAGGCATGTCTCACAGTGTAATGGATATTGCTGCTCCCTCAAGAGCTTTAGCTGCACAGAGCAGGTGGTTCAACGCAAGACATCAGCACTTTGGAAAAAATTAAAATACAATTAAAAGAGCAATTAAATAGCAGCTGGTTTGAGTAAGAGTCAATTCAGACTGTAAGAACAACTCAATTCAGTTCTGTGGAATTCTTTCTCAGAATTGAAAGGGTAAGAAAGTTTGGACAAAATATATAATAAGTAACTAAAACTGTCTTAGTCACACAGAACTCTGTTTAAAAGGGTACCAAAATCATGAAATCTAGATGAGGTATCACTTCCGAACTACTTTAAAAGTAGTCTGATTCCAAATCAGATAAGCAAGTCCTGTGGCACTTTTTGTGGTCTTAAAACAGCTTTTCCCTAATTAAAAAAAAAAAAAAAAATTCCCTCTCCCTCACATTAGGTAAAATAACTACAAAAGCAACAAGAGAAAATGCCCAAGTATATAACGGAAAGAGGGAAACATACCAACATACACAACAATATACCAAGCCTACATATTGGGGGGAAAAAAAAAAGTTTTAAACATTACTTAAGATCAACAGAAATAAGAGTTAAAAAGAGTCATGGTTAATTTCAAAATAGGCTTTGAAGGGTAGGACTGTCTCCAGGAAGAACAGTATTTACTCACCAAGTGGGAAATCATGTCAATACCAGCTATTCTTAATCATCATCCTCTCGCGCAGAAAATTTAGTCACTTCACCAAGTGAACACCACTTCTTACTTTCATACCTCAAAGCTTTCTTCCCCTGCCTCCCCCCAGCATTCTTTCTCTACAGCAAGTATTATACAAAGCCAAACCGTAGATTCTGTGTTTGAAAAAGTGGGTTTTTTTCTTCATTTTAACATGAAGTAGAATTAGAATGAAAAATCTTTCTGTATGACCCATAAGAGTTTCAATCAACTCAGTCTATCCTGAATGAAATTTTGCGTTAATCTTCCAGGCTCGTGAGTTTGTATTTCATCCTCTAGACAGCTATGAAAGGAAACAGGTGTCCAACGTATAAAAGCCAATAATCTCATACAGAATACTTTCTGAGAAGTGCATTTCCCAAATGCAACTAACTGGAACTTTCAACCACAGTACACCTGATAAAAAAACACAGTATGACGTAAAGGAAGGCAAAACAATCCCAGAACAGCAGCATGTTCATTCACCTAGAACAGGAAAGGGGGTTTTAGATGAGGAATTACACTTCCTGTACAGTGTTCATTTAGGATTAGGAGACAGTTTGGCAAACATGCTGAAAAAGGGGCACTGCAGCTCCCCAAAACCTCACCATCCTTCCCTTCCAATGCAGCATGCTCCATCGGTCACTCTTCTCCAAAACGAAAAGTAATCTGAGCTACCTCCATTGAATTCTGCAATGTGCTTAGGTGAGAGGGAAAATAAGGAGCTGCACTCGGGCTGTACCTTACCATAAAATGGCTGAAAGCATAAGCAGCCCTTCTATTCCTCCATGCTGGAGTACTCTAGAGGTTTCAGTTTTGCCATCAGTCAATAATAGAAAAGCCAAGGCTCTGTTATTTAGGTAAGTGCTTTAAAAATCGGTTTAATTTCTTAAATTGATTTCAAGTCTTAAGTTATATAGGGCTGGTAAGCAAGATTGTTAAAGGTACACACTGTAGTCGAAAAACTTATGAAGTACTGTAAAAAATTCTGTTACATACTGGATTATTATCAGTTACTTTGATTTTAAAAAAAAAAAAAAAATCATCTTTCTCCACTTGCATGGAGTACAAGGAAGCACAAAAATAAGTAAAGACAGATTATCTTGTTTAGCACAAGATTTAGCTTAAACACAAAAGGCTAAACCCTCATCCCCTAAGTATGTCAGCAGTATAGCTGAAGGGCTAACTTGTGCCCTATGCAGAAGCAATAAAAATTTAGTTAAATTTTAATTCAACTATCTTTCCAAGACAGGTGTTATCATAGATACATATAACATGAAACAGTATGTAACATAAGCATACCATTTTGGCATATGCATATATACACCTATTGTGTAAACCAAGATCAGTTATCTCTGAAATATAATCACGCTTACCTGTTAATGTAACTTAGAGCAACATAGGTTGGCTGTTGAAGTTCTTGTTTCTCTAATACACGTGGGTCTGTATCTAGAATAAAAAATACATACACTGAATTGAGTTTTCCATATTTACAATGAAACATATCGGACTGTATACTGCAAAGTAACTTAAGTGAAGACATGAGATATAAAATAGCTCAACCCAGTTTATCCATACAGTCTGCTTAGCACAGCACAATCTTTTGTTCATTCATTCATAAACACAGTATTGCATTACTTTACACAAGAATTTCAAACATCAACAGTGATGTAATTTCCAACTGTTACAAAAGTTTTCACAATCTCCCTCATAAATATTAGTTTTCATTGCTTTCCATGATTTACGGTGTTAAAAGGATCAAGCTTTCTTCTTTTTTAATGTCGGTATTTCTAAACATGGTTGACACATTTTGAGATGCTTCAAGAGTGATTAGATCTCTTCAGTTTGGACTTCATACTCTTCTTCTGCATCTCGAGTTTTGCTTTCTCCCTTCTCTACAATTTCTTTTCTAAAGCTCTCAATCAGATAAATCATACAAAAATGCACTTGAAGCAAAACGCTTGCCAGGCAGAGCATTGCCCACCAAAAGCCCTGAAGCAAACACCATCCAGTTCCCTCGAGTGCTAACTTTCTCACTCAAACAAAAGAATATGTTTTCAATCACTGTTTTCATTGTTCTTTTCAGTTAAGTTTTGCTTTTATCTAACAAAGAAGCAGTCTTGCTTTAAGTTTCTGAAACCAAACCAAAAGAAGTATGCTCATAGTTTACATTGTTTTCTTATACAAAAAAATAGGATTAAATTGAGGTTTCAAATACAGCCTTGCCCTACATTGTAGAAATGCACCTTTAGGAGCGGAGCATAAACAGTCTTCAAAAGTTCCCAATGGAAAATGCGCATCATGCCTGTGCAGATTAATACATAGTCATTAACGACATATTTTATGCGTTACTTTAAAAGCAATTCTGGGTGCAACTTCTGCGGTTTAACTATAAAGAATACAAACTGCTTTTACTAAATGGCTCCCCATAGCACAGCTACTATTTGTCTTTTATTTCTGAGAAGCATCAGGGGTTTTCTTTTGTTTTTAAAAAACATGATACAATTATTTTGAAACCTGTCCCTGCTGCTCTGCCTTAAGGAAGATTTTTAACTGAACTGAATGGGGACTGTGCTTGAGGTAGCTGCATTCGTCACACCACTGCCCGAAGCAGATAATGTCTTTATCCAGTGAGCGGGGAATCCCCTGTCCCACCCCCTCAAAGCTCAGACTGCTTCTAATCTTTCTTCCTACATTTGCTCCTGCAAAGCTCAGGCTCCAGGATTTGCTAACGTGCCTTATCGATACGCCCGTAAATAAATAAATGCCTTTAAGGAAGGTCAGAGAAGAGGGATAAAAGCACAAGCGCCAATCCAACCAGCAACCCCCGGCCTGTTATCCTTAAAAGGAGCCGATCTTGCTGGTGCCTGGGAAAATTCTGCAGTAATTACCAGCAGAAGTACCACGCTCTATATTAAGCTAACCAAAGACAGCAAAGCATTAGCTATCTTCTGTGCTATCTCTATAATTTACTTCTCTGATGAAGTTAGGTTCATGCAACACAAAGATCTTTTACTTGCCTTTGTTTCTACAAAACCCATAGTCATTTAGCAGGCCAAGCATACAACTGCTGTCATGGTAAACTGTTAATTTACACTTCGGCAGTGCATTGCCTGCCATGAAACTGTCTCGATATAAAATGTCTGCAGAGCATTAATCCCACCCAGGACTATCTGAGAGAACTGCATCAACCCAAGTTTAGGCATCTGTGGTTAAATGACTACGTCTCTGCTAATCCAGTTCTTAAATGGGATTAACCTCCATCCATAAACAACAGTTTCTGTGACTGAAGGAGACAAAAATGGGGCTGGTTTACATCAGAGTGCTTCAAGTATCCGTGGGATAGGACAAGGGAAAGCTCTAATGAAGAGTCTACCACCCTTCCGCAACTCGCCAGCGGCTCACCATAACATCAGCTGAAGATGAAAATGCAAAGTCAAAAACCAAAAGCCCCATAACTTTTGTAGGAGCATGTTATCAAACCACAGAGAAATTCGTCTGCTGGCACCCGCACAAAGCAGAGTGCTGTCTCTCAGCAGGTGCTGCCTGACACACAAGGAACGCGCTGCACAGTCTCTATTCAGTTTATCTACCCCTTCCCTCTCCACCTATCAGACTTCACATGTATTTCAAGTCGATTGTGTTGTATATCCCAATTCCACCAAAAAATAATCCAGGAGATGGTCAAGAAACTCTTGTATTAACTTGGCACTCAAAATGCTTGACACATTTTTCTTCCTCATGTAACTGGCTGCAGGGTTGTCAGTCATGAGAACATTGAGTTCACTTCTGCACTGTAGCAGGAGCTATACGTAACACTGTTGGGTATTATTTCTCTTCCCCAGCTATAATAACAGAAGACAAAAAGAAAGCGCAGAAACCAGAGAGAAGGATTCTTGTGCTGGGGCCACCGCGTGTCCCTCAGAGAAGAGCAGAGACCGGGCCAGCAGCCACCGGTCCCAGCACAGCCATTCCCAGGACAGAGGGGCATGAAGGCTGTGCCGGCAGCCCCACCGCACTCACCTAAAACCTGCACGGCCTTGCTATCCACAGTGTGCACACACTTTGCTCGCCACTGCCAGCTTCTCTCTCACTGTCTTAAAATGCCACTGGTCCATTCCTTCCCTCCTTGTCATCCTCTGCCCGACCTCAGCCAGCACCTTTCTTCTCTCCTGCCCCTTCCTAACTCTGGTTCTTGCTACTCATCCTGCCTCCCTTACTGCCCTCATGCTGCCTGCTCCTCTCCCTTCAAAACACCCCAACATACAAACAAGTTAAAAATCACATAGAGATGCCTACAACCACTTGTTCACTCTTGTACCACAGGACTGAACATTCGTACAGTTCTCTCCTTGTACTGCTCTCTTCCCTGCAGCCCCTAACTTGCCTCCTCCCCCCTCAATTGTATTTTATTTCCAATTTGGACAGTCTCGACTTTCTTGATTGAGTTAGCACGCTTCTGAGCACAAGGTGAATATACATTATTGCTAACAACTACAAAAAGACCACAACCATCCCAGGCTTGCTTACAAAAAAACCAGACATAATTAGCTTTTTTCCCTTCCTCTTTTTTTTTTTTTTTTTAAAGACAGCAAGCACAGCTACAGTGAAATTAAGTAGTAGTATTCCCTGATGCTGAACCTTCAAACCTAGACTAGCAGTGCTGTGCTTCTCTCACACCTAAGCTCATTTCTACAGGCATTAGCACCGTCTCCTAACACCGCACAGGCTGCCCAAAGCCACAGCCCCCGAATGCGTGTCACCCCACTGACCAGGATCTTATGTATGAGCCAACACTCTCAACTGAGTCAGGGATGAGGAACAGGGGAGGCAAAAATCCATTGTGAAATCTCACAAAATGGCCCTGTATAATGTTACATGTTTTGTCAAAGTTTCTTCAAACACACATAGGCTAGTCAAAGTCAGCCAAAAGTAGCCTAAATAGTTACCAAACAGACACCTATAATGGATTAAACAGATGACAAATCTTATTCTCGAAAAGTACTTAAGCAGTACAACCTAGGACTGATCCGAGCTCCCCTTCTTACAAGAAAAATATCCAGATAGCGCACACTCCAAAACAACTACGGATTTTGAAGGGACTGGTTGATTAGCATTACTTTAACTAGTTCCCTTGCTTCTTGAATTAACATGGGCTATTGAAGACTCAGTACTTCATTAGTTTTTGCTGTAACACCTTAAATCTAGTAGAACAAATTGCCACCCGCTGTACATTAGCTACCTTCATTATTTGTCTCTTCTCATAAAAGCGTTACGTTCCACTGATTTCTTTCCACAGCGAGAAACAGCAAAGCACTATATACTTTCTGTAACGCTGGGGGGGGCGTTTAGCCAAGTCCTCTTCTTTTACTATGGTGTTAGATTTTGGAAACCTTGTGTTTTTTCTATTTTTCTTTAATGAAATGCTATTAAAATGAAATCCTGATTTCATACGAACCACCCCAGGGTTTTGTTCTGGGTCCCACCACCTCACGATTAAAAGACTGAAGTGTGGGTGCTAACACCCATGAGAGAGAGTTACTCAACTAATCATCTACGGGATTAGACACCTCCAATTTCTCACATCCACAACCTGTTTCATACTGGGTAACCAGACAAGCAGTATGAGTGTGTAATTAAGGCTAAGACCATAAATTGCACTGCACCATCTTTGAACTGCTCAGACAGGCATCCTCTGTGGAGCGTGTTCTAACAAAATGAATCACTGACTACCGAACCAAGCTACTATTACTATTTCACCTCACTCTATGCAGAAATAACTTGCAGCTTGAAAACACTGCAAAGTCCTAACCTGGTGAAGTATTTTACAGAAAGCATATAACAAAGAAGGGATAGCCATCCTGTGTAAGTACAGTCTTAATCAATTACACAACTTTGTTCTACATGAGTGTTTCTGTACAAAAACACATGCCACATCTTTGTTATTACATAATGGAGCCGTAAGTTTTGCCCTAAAAGATACAAGAAAGTTATCATAAGCAACTTCACATGAGAACTTCACTTTCACAAAGACCCTGCATTTAAATGACTGAAAAAAAAAAAAAATCACTTTTCACCTTATAAAGGGCACAGAGAAAAGTGCTAACAAATTTCAGTGGCATTATTTTACAGCCTCAAGCTTTCTTCTTACAGGGACTAGGAAAGGTCACTACCACTAGCAAAACGGTAAAGATAGTCTCAGAAGAAAAAACAATTACTTAAAGGAGGTAAAATTTACACTACCCTTCAATGCCTTGAATATGAAGTGGCTTTTACCCTACTGTGCCACCACTTAACAGACAGAAGCTGAGGTCAAGATTGACAAGAGTCCAGGTATCTAAAGAAGGACATATGAATCCCTCGTCACATAAAAATGAAGTGACTGGATTTTAAAGGTTTTTTGATAGCTGTAATCGTCCACCAGATTTCACAGATGTAGATATTAC